TTTTGCCTCCCTTGTCTCAAGGAGGAATTCTAAGATACCACCTCTTTTTGACAGCCCACATGGGTGGGGTGGGGCGGGGCGGGGGGGGGGAGTCCATAAGAGCAACAACAAAAATAGTTTATCATATGAGGCCATAATTATGCTACTTGGTGAGTGATGTCCACCAGGCTTATGTATAGGTCCCAAACCTTGAAATTCTTGCTGCTGAGAATTATGACAATTTCCCCTTACTTGTGCTTGCCCTGAAGCATCTAAGAGTTCTCTATTTATACCCTCTTATGAGGCTTTCCTTATGCAGGTTCCACTAGAGTCTACCAGAAACTACAATGTGTCAGTCACTGTGGAAGTTGTTTTATATATTTTCCCACATTTAATCAACATAATGTTATGATATAGGAATTATATCCCCATGTGTAAAAATAAAGAGAAAAATAAAGCTCAGAGAAGCTAAGTATTTAGCAATTAAGAAAAAGTATTTGAGGAGGGCATTTGTTGGGATGAGCACTGGGTGTTGCATGTAAACAATGAATCATAAGAAACTACCCCCAAAACCAAGAGCACACTGTATACACTGTATGTGAGCCAACTTGACAATAAATCATATCAAAGAAAAAAGAAAAAATATTTTGGAGAAAAATAGCTCAGCCACTTACTTGTGTAAACTATCTAATTTCTCTAGGCCTGAGTATAACTTCATTTATCAAATAGAGAATAATAATGCTTGCCTCAAAGTATTACTATGCTGATAAAATAATGAATGGAGAGCCTTTATCATAATAACTGCCATGAAGGAAATCCTTAATAAGTGACTATTTTTAATGTCTAATCATTCTTGAGTTTGGAAATCACATCCAGGGAGATGTAAGGTCGGGAGGGCGGGGAGGCAAAAAACAGAATCAAAGTCATTAGATGAGATGTCTTTTTCCACCTTTAGATTCTCCTTCCAATGCAAACTTTATTTTAGGGGAAGATGTCTCCTTACGGAAGATGGAGAATCATGATCTGGATGATAAAGACTAAGTGATGAGAAAATTAAGGACAACTTCATAGGACAAGATCTCCCTTTGTCCATGGATATTTGGAGGTATGTTCTAGCACCACTTAAAAATATACCTGGATTCCTTAGGAGAAAGACAATCATACAAAAACATTTTGGCCAAAGGAATTAACAACTGAATAAAGAGCATCTACCTTCCAGTTTAATGTAAGTCTCAATCAAATCACATCTCAAAGGTCTTCATTCCTTCTTCTGTGTATGTGAGTGTGTATGAAATAAAAAACAAAGAATAGCTTAATTTTTCAAGAGTGGAAATATCATTTCTTTGACCTTTCAAAGACAGTCTAGTAGAGTTTACCTTAAACAGAGAGGGAAAACACAAACTACTGTACCACAATAGCTATGACCAGCAATTCTGATTATACAAATCTGTAAGCTATTAACCTACCAATCTTCCCTGCAACCAGATATTGCACGCCTTATCTGAGTTGAAGTCCTTTCCATTGCTACATAAACCCCTATACACAATATCAAAAGGCCAATCAGCATAATTAGGTATAATTAGCATTTATCACTTGGGAAACATCTCACCTCAGTCTTACCAAAGCTGCGTTATGTATTACTGACAATGAGATGATGCAGACCAGGCAGGGACAATGAGATTGTTGTTTCACCAGATTATTTCTCAGTAATTTCAGTCAAGTTAATTGAGAAATAGTTCATCAGCCCTGTAAGCCCTCCTGTCCTTTAGTTTGAAGTTTAATAATTGCTATAATCTAAAATCAGAAAGAAGTAGTTCTAGTAACTATCTCATAAACATGGTGTCTGGCAACGTAAGGAATGCAAAAGACCCAAAGCAACAGTGGTTAAGTTAAATATGTCTTGGGCAACCCAACATGGTGATAAGCAGAATTTTCAATGATATCCCCAGAGGCTGAAAGACAAATATATACAGCTATAAATCCAAGTACTGAACCTATACTATGACACAAATAATAAAATCACAATCACAAAAATAATCACTCTAAACTGCTAATCTCCCTCATTATTTCAAAGAGACAGGCCACAGTCAATTTATGATCAATGATGTTCAAAAACAGCAGGTAAATTTGCCTCTACTACCATGAAATATGGTAATATATTATCACTAGAATGAAACTGTCACTTGAAAATCTAGTTTGGCAGTGTCTTATAAATTAAATAGACACTCAACATATGACACACAAATCCCACTCTGGATATTAATCCAAAAGGAATGAAAATACGTTTCTGCAAACATGTATGTTAGTGTTTATGGTGGCTTTATTCATAATCAACAAAACATATAAACAACCCAATGTCCTTCAACTGGTGAATGGATACACTATCTGTGGTACATCCGTACAATGGAATATTACTTAGCAGCAAAAAGAATGAACTATCAATACGCAAAACAACATGGGTGAATCTCAGATGCATTATGCCAAGTGAAAGAAACCACACTCAAAAAGCTACATAATATGTGACTGCATTTACATAAAATTCTGGAAAAGGCAAAAAATAGGGATAGGAACAAACAAACCTAATGACTGCCAAGGACTGAGGGTGGGGAGGTGCTGACTACAAAGGAGCATGAGGAAACTTCTCAGGGCTGCAGAATGTTCTGTATCTTGATTCTGGGGTGTGCTAACAAAACTGAAAGCATTTGTACATAAATTATGTCACAATAAAACTGATTTAGAAAGGGGAAAAAAAAGAGGATCAGCGTTTATATCAGAACAAAGTTCTAAGAAAGAAAAAACCCTTTGAAGAAACAAGAGCCCATAAATGTCTTTCCTATTATTGATGTCTTTCTGAACCAAAAGATGACAAGAGTGATTCAGAGGGAAAGTTGAATGAAAACATTGACAGACTCAACTTCTAACTGACTTATCGGAGAACACAGGCTTTTAGACAACCTATACATTATATTTGGGTAAGTGTAAAAATGAAACAGGGATTTTTACGTAATTTAAAAATCACCAGAGGGAAACACAAAACTGTTTTAATTTTAATTCTTACACCTAAAAATCTTGAAAATGATCAGTAAGATGGCATATTCTGCACACACACAGATCCTCTCCACTGTACATTCATAACTGTAGGGTTATTTCTCCAATGTCTGGCTATGCTTTTTCATTACTGTATCACTGCCTTCTACCACAGCTGCCTGCAGTTACATTCCTACCCTGTGAAGCTGCATCCCAAGTTCCTTATAATTTCTGCTTAAAGACAGTAAAAGAAATTGCCTGGGGAAACTTGGATATCTTTCCATTTTTATTTTCAGTGAAATATTTAACATGTACTGAAAGGTGGTGTCAGAATCCTAATATACTTAAAACAAAATTCAACTTACAAAAAATTTAACATCGATTTATATCAACCTTAGGGCCCAACTTTTTTCATGTGTACATTTGCATATATTTTTCCATTTCTACATACAGTCATAAAATATATGCACAAAAATAATTCTTTAAATAATGATTTCAATCTAGAAAATATATGAAGATTAAATTCAAGCAATTTAATTAAATCACTCAAACTTTAAACACTAAGAAATCAATAGCAAAATTCTCCTTTAAATACCACATAGTCTGCCCAACTCAAACCCTCTTCAGATCTGCCTTTCCCTATAAAATTGCAATAAGTAAAGCATACAAGCACACAGCTCCAATTAACAGAATCGTGCCTAGAATTAGTCAGCATTTGGTCTAATGGTCTAAGTATGGCTAAAATTTTCAAAGGGACTGCTGAATGCGTGGCCTAATAATTCAATGCCCCTAATAATTCAGGAGCCCCTAATGATTCGATGCCCTTCTGCTTACTTCTCTAGATTAATGCTAAAATGATCCAATAAACTTGTGGATTTTATTTGTAATTTCACTTAAAATAGCAGAGCATTATTTCAAAATCCCTACAATATTGCTGATGATGTAAATATATATGAATCTCTCGATTGTGGGGTAATTCTTTTCCTCTTCACAGTGGTAGGTTGTGTTAATACAACAATTTTTCTTTTACTGTTCACTAATGAGACAGTAATTGCCATGAGAATCCTACTGGGATAGACTTGTATATATAATAAGCCTAAGGACAGATTTCATTGTATTTATAATGATTTTCAGATATACTGTGTTCTGCATGAATACATCAGTACCAAAAGGTTTTCTTTTCTATGGAAGATAAACTGCATATTTTCAGAAATGTGCAAACAGGAGAAATAAATTTAACTAGGGAGATTTCAGATTCTTATGTCTAGTAACTAAGTAGAAAAATAAATAAAAGAATGCTCCTTTGTATCAAAAACCTGTTAACTTTTCATTAGGAATCTGAAAAAGGTGCTATTTCAAAGTTTTTAATGTTTGAATTAGAAACGTAACTGCCAGCTTCAGTATGAGTTCCAATGTACTATAATGTAAAACTACATACACCACTTCAATTATTGATTGTATATGAAGGATATTTACAAGAAGATATTTTAATGTATTACTGGCTGACATCACTACCTTCAGAGTTTACTTAGGGTTATAAAGATATCTAGAAATACATTTTAAATAATATTTTCCAGTGATATATTCTAGTTGATCATTTGGGAATTGTTGTCCTTGAAACCTCAGGTACTCTTCTGCTCTTAAATATGGTAGGTGTCACTTACCATTCAGCAGGGAAATGAACAAGAGTTCCAGTTTATATTCTTAGATTATAATCTCTACCAAAGCCCAAATGAAATGTAAAAAATGAATGGCACGTGGAATGCCTGGGTGGCTCAGTCAGTTAATCATCTGACTCTTGGTTTTGGCTCAGGTCATGATCTCGCAGTTCATGGGCTAGCCCCATGTCAGGATCTGTGTTGACAGTGTTGAGCCTGTTTAGGATTCTCTCTCTCCATCTCTCTCTCTGCCCCTCCCCCTCTCATAGGGCCTCTGTTTCTCTCAAAATAAATAAATAAAAACTTAAAAAAAAAAAAAAAAGAAAAGAATAGCACCTTTCACGATGTCCCAAATCTGACAGAAATTCATCTGCATGACTTTGGAGTTCATTTCCTTCTAAATTCTTTAATTTCTTCAATTCACTTTGTAGAAAAAACCAGAGCTCTTTAGCTCCATTTTCAATCCTCCTCCTTAGGATTTCATGATCTTTCCCCAGACCTGCAGTCAAAGAATAAATAGTATCAGTATTCCCAACATTTTGATGAAGGAAAATTTTAATTATTTGTGGTAATATCAATATACTAAAGCAGAAAAACACTATATAATCACCTACCATTTCTAGTTTGTTTCTTATAATTTTCAATCTGTTCTTTGGCCTTCAAAAGCTGCTCTTCTAAAGCACGAACCCTTCCTGAGGCTGGTCCCTGATCAATGGGGCCTTCTGGTATCCTGTAGTTTAGAAAAGATAATGCAAACATTTAGCTTATAAATTATGTAACAAAATTAAAGCTTACTTTGCTACAACATATTTATTGGTGACTCTAGGAGGCACAAACCATACATTACAATCAGGAAATAAAGTTTTCTCTCCAAACAATGGAATGATACTGAACAGAAACAGAAAAAATAATCTAGCTCAGAGATCTATGATCTTCTAGGAATAAAGGAACCTTTAGAACTGTGTCCTAAAAACTCTCATCATATTACTTAGAAAAATACCATCATCAGTGGCAAAGTGGTCAATTCTTCATTAGTGTCAAGAGCAACAAAGGTAAAGGAGAGGGTGACAAAAAGCTTAAGGGAAATAAGAAAACATGTGTCTGAACATATACCTGTGTTCAAATAGCAAATACAAATTATTTCTGAATTAATCACAATATCAGGCTATGTAAATCTGTGTTCCAATTCATGAACTCATGACCTTAGATTACTAAGTATTGGTTTTATAGAAGGGAAAGACAAGAGTAGAAGATGAAGTATATCAGAAAAAAGATGAATATTAATATCTTGTTTGTTTCTATCAGAAATGAAAAATACCAATTAACAATATAAAATGTTGGAACACAGCAGAACAAGTCTGGGGTCTCTTGTTTACATTATTAACATATCTGTACAACTTCTTTCCAAACTGTACTTGTTTCTAACATGTTTTGTTTTTATATGGCTTTGGCAGTATTCTGTACTCCATTCTGGCTACAAAAGGTGTCTACATCCTAATCCTGGAGCTTACAAATGCTCCCTTACATGGCACAAAAACCTTGAAATGTGTGATTAAGTTAAGAATTTTGAGATGGGGAGATAGTCTTGGATTATCCAGGTGGACCCTGATTGTAATTACAAGTATTCTTATAAGAGAGAGGCAGAGGGAGATTTCATCCCAAGAGAGGAGAAGATTGTGTGGCTATTAGCTTTAAAGATGGAGGAAGGGGTCATGAGCAAAATTACGAGGAATGCAGCTTTAGAAGCTGAGAAAAGCAAGGAAACAGATTCTCCCCTACAGTTTCCCAGAGGAATGTGGTCCTGCTGACACTGTGGCTTTGGCCCAGTTAAACTCATTTCAGACATCTGATGTCCCAAACTGTTAACAGAATAAATTTTCATTGTTTTAAGCCACAAAGTGGTATCTGTTATAGTGGCAACAGGAAACTAACACACATACACACATATATATAAACACATACATACATACATTTGCAGAATTATTATGAATATTAAATAATGGCTGATTTTTCTTCCAAAATCTATAAAAAAAACTCAGTGTTTGGCAATAAACTATCAGGGCAATAAACTATCTGGGCTCAGTCATGTTAAAGATGAGCTATAATCTCGAAATATCTGGGTATGTATTCTTACCATTACAATCATTTTAAGGGAACTTAATTTTTTTTTAACGCTTATTTATTTTTGAGAGAGGCAGACAGAGAATGAGCAGGGGAAAGGCAGAGAGAGAGGGAGACACAGAATCCAAAGCAGGTTCCAGGCTCTGAGCTGTCAGCACAGAGCACAATATGGGCTCAAACTCACGAAACATGAGATCATCATGACCTGAGCCAAAGTCGGACGCATAACTGACTGAGCCACTCAGGTGTCCTGGGAACTTAATTTTTAAAATATACTTAGCAGAACTTAAATTCAGATGTCAGCTTAGTCCTTTGATGCAAAGACACTAACGCAGATTTTTTATACCTTTTCTTACATTTTTTTATATAATAAGACTACAGAGGCCAAATTAACTATTACTTACCTATACCACTTCAGTATACATGTTTAGTAAAGAAGCTCTAGCAGTGTAACAAGGTATTCTATAGTTGTATGCATTAACACTGAATGGGAGCATGAAAAATAACCATTCTCTAATCATGAGTATCCCAGGCTACAAAATTTGAATTATAAAGCCTTCATTTGTATACATACAAAGTGAATAATGATACAATAAGTAGAGCTGTTAGGTGCACAATTACCCAATTTATAAGCTCAAATGTGTGTACATTCATAAATGAGGCATTTCCTGGTATCTAGTTTTTAAAATTTGGCTCCTAATCTCTTTCTGAATTAGATGGCTGATTTCAAGGAAATAATTTGAAAACAGAATAAAACTACTACCTCTTGAAAGTAGTCAAGGAATTAATCTTGACAACAATATGTCATAAGACAAGAATGTCGTTTCCCTTAATGACACAAAATCTCAGAGAATACAAAGATATGTCTAGGTTCTCTGTTTTATCTCATTTCTTCATATACTGATGGAAAAACATCAAGGTAAAACAGGCAAGAAAAAAACAGCATAAAATGATTTCAGCAGATTTCCATTAAGTATTAAATCTAATCTAATTTTAGTAAAACATACATAATAAATAAGTGATAGTACATTATTATATATAATATAGTAAATACATAATATAATTATATTAAATACATAAGTGACATTACATTATTATATATAATAATCTAATCCAACTGTGGATAAACTGTAGGTAAAGAAAAGTAATGGAGAAGCCAGTAAAAAAACGGTACACAATAAAGACTATTCTTTCTAAAATGTATCAAGAAAAGAGTCAATCTGAAAGGACATTATCTGAATATTTGGGAATTGAATGTTGTTCTTTTTTTTATTATTATTATCATACTCACTTTGCAAAAGATATATAGGACATCTTCTGGCCAAGATGAAACAACAGAGATTAAATTTACCATAATGCTCAAAACCAATGAAAACCCAGACAAAATATATGAAACAATGATTTAATAAACCGGTTTAATTACTGACTAGAATCAGGAGAAAGACATCAGAAAGACAGCAAAATAGGTAGTTCCCGACTTTGGTCCCCTTCAGGGAAAGGGCAACTAGCAACTATCTATAAATATTTGTCAAGATTCCAGAACATGGGGGTGAGGCTGAAGCAACCCCTTGGACAAGAAAAACATTAGAAGGATAAGAGGAGCGATTTCACTTTGACTGCACTGCTCCTCCTCCAGGTCAGTGCAGTGCTACACAAGGGGTTCTCCCTGGACCTACACCTTCTCCAGTGAGAAAAGGAGGAGAGCAAAGGGGACATCAAGCTTCCCTAGCATTCCTGATGCTTCCTGGGAGGCCCACTTAAGTACTGCCTCATGGAGAGTACTGTGGGAATCAGCTACAAGACAGAGAAGGGGAGAATGACTCACAGCAACAAATGTGCAGATCTCGGCTGACTGCATTCCTATTGGTGGTAGAGCCTGAGAAGAGATCCCAACTCCTGGCTCTGATCATTTGCAGAGCTGAGCCAATGCCCCCAACTGGCCAGGGAGCTTAAATGGCAGTTCTGAATGGTTTGGGTCCCTGGCTAGAGGGACAACTCAGTGAGGAGCCCTACCTACACAAGGAGCAAGTCAGCAACCCTGCTCAAATGCTGAGCATAGCCTCCAGCCCCACTTAAGCAGGAAGGCAGCTCTAAGCCGCTGGGCCTCTGCAGCACATCCTACGGCCCACCAGAGCAGAGAAACAAGTCAGTGGGCACACTTAACTGCTGAGCATAGCCTCCAGCGCCACCCAACAGGGAAGCCTAACCAAAGACATGGTCAGCCATGGGCAGCATACAACACATCCTATGGCCTGCCTAGGCAGGAAAGCAAGTCAGTAGCCCCACCAAACTGCTCAGTGTAGCCTTCATAGCCTCCAGCCATTCCTGACCAGGAATCCTGACCAGGGATCCTGACCAGGGATTGAAGCAGCCACAGAGCCCATTCTACAGCTCCATTCAGGTAGGGAGCCAAGCCCAGCAGCACCACCCAACTGTTGAACATAGCCTCCAGCCCTATCTCACGAGGCTGCCCAGCCAGAGACCCTGGCCAGCTCTGGAGCCCAACCTGACAGCCCTACCCAACAGCACAGATAGCCTACAGCCCCATCCAATTGCTGAGTATAGCTTGCAGACTCACCCTGACAGAATGCTCAGCCAGCCACCTCACCTAATCACAAAGCATAGCCTGTAGCTCCACCTGCCCAGTGACCCCAGTGCAACCCTGCCTGACCATGGAGCATAGCCTTCAGCTCCATCCAACTGTTGGGTAGCTGGCAGCCCTACCCAACCAGGAAGTCCAGCAAGACACACTGTCAAATAGCAGAGCATAGCCAGTACCCTGCTCAATCACAGGAGCCTAGCTTGTAGCCCCATCCAATTTGGGGGTACAGCCTACAGCCCCACCTGATCAAGGAGCACAGCCTGAGTGAGTTCCAATCTGATTGCAAAACTGTGTATGGCCTTAATTGAATGTAGAGTCCAGCCAGTGGCACCATCAGGCCAGAGGGCACAGCCTGGGGACCTCAACTGACCAGAGGCAATTGCAGAGGTCAGCATGTGGCCTTACCCAATCACAGAGTTCAACCAGCAGCACCATCCAACCAGGAAACATAGCATGCAACCTGCCTAACCATATGTGATCGCAAAGCTCAGGAAGTAGTTCTATGTGAACACAGATACAAGCCAGCAGTTATGCTTGAATGCAGAGCCCAGCCATCAGACCCACCTGACTTGCAGAACAATGGCAGGTCCCCTGACCAACCTCAGAACATAGACATTGGCCCCATCCAACTAGAGACCCTGAGAGAAAGCACTGCTTGCCCAAAGCTGCTACCAGCTGCCTGTCCAGAACCTCTAGCTGAGCCAAATGGTGAAGGACTTTCCTTGCTAAAGCAAGCCTATAAAGGCTCATTGCTCAAATGAGCAAATACCAAAATAAGAATATGAGAATCAGGACGAATCAGGTAAACATGATACCACCAAAGGAAACTAATAAAGTTCTAATAACTAACCTTAAAGAAATAAAGATCTATTAACTGTGTAAAAAAGAATTCAGAATAATCCTCTTAAAGGAATACAGTAACTACAAGATAACACAGACAACTAAATAAAATTAGGAAAACAATACATAAACAAAATGGGAGGTTCAACAAAGAAACAGAAACCATA